TCAAAAATTCGGGCTTCCACATGACATAGGGCAAAGCCTTAGTGGGCCTTTCTGACCCTTGAAAGCTGCTGACGCAGGCAAGTGCAGTCGATTGTGCGGCCATGGTCTACTGCAAGGTCGATGGATAGGGAACATGGGGTTATGTTTAGGGTTCAGGGTTTAGGGACCTTATACTAGGTGATAAAAAGCAGGGTTACAGTTACGGGCAGATAAGGTTCATGTTGATGATGACTACTCCCATAATAACTGTCATTCTAACCAAATAATAAATCATGCTGGGGCGCTTGTCGTCCCGAAGGTGATACAGCTATTATAGGTACAGTTACAGTTGTTGTGGGGGGTATACTTACCCATGGATCTCCAAGTAGGTCATCTATCTCGGCTGCGGCACTGCCTGTCATTAGCCGGAGCTTCATTATCGTACCCCTACGTTACACAGACTATATAACCCCAATATATAGTAGTTTCCATTATTTTCCATTGTCCCAATATAGACTCCAATATATTATGACCTCCTAAACCCTAAACAAACTTTAGTAAACATGTATTCTGCACCTTGATGTCCTGCAAGGGAGCCTAAACCTTCAGCACCTTGGAGTCATTTTGCCCCAAAACCGTACTAAAGCATTGGTCAACACACCCCTGAAGAAGAAGGGGCACCCAAAAGCCTTGTCATGGCATGGTCATGATACCTGGAAAGTTCAGACTTCCATCTCTGCAATGACAGACCAGGCGCTGGATCACCATCATTCCATGGCTTTGAAGATGTTCGGCTATGTTCAGCCCATACATCGTGGACCCCATTGCCAATAGTTAGGGCCCAGTATCTTCATCAGCCATCAAAACCTTCTGAAAACTAGCCTTCAGAGCCAGCCCCAGAATCTCAACAGCCACCAAAGCGTATGAGGCATGTCAACCATTGTTCGCATCTGAGGTGGCAGCCGCTTTTCTTAGACCTTAGCACAGCAGGGCATCATGCGCCTTGGGATTCAGGTCCTGGAATTCCTCTGAGCCTAGCACCTGGCGCACCCTTCAGGATGGATCGACAGATTGCTGGGGCGACGGCTTCTTTTTCTTCTTTTTCTTTTTCTTCTTATCCTAACAGAGGGAAGGTTCACCAGCCCATTAAAGTCATGGGAACTGAGATGCTGACCTAGGACACCTGACAAAGATTAGCCGCTTCTCCTTTCCTGCTATACAGCCCATGCCAACTCTGGCTTTGCTCCAAAGGGCGGCCGGCATGAAGGCCTTGTTTGGCTTGGGTTAGGAAATCATGTGAGGACCTCTATCACTTCCTAGCATACCACGGTTACTGGATGGCTTACTGCAAGGTTAGGGTAGCGCAACAGATAGGATGCCCAAGGAGAACAAACAGCCAGTCCAGTCGGTATTACTGGCCTGTATTGCAGTTCCTGGTCATCGGATTCTGTCACTCAACGTTGCTAGCATCCACTGATTGATTTTGGGCATTCCATGCACTCATGATAACAACTGGAACTTACCCTACCCCCAAACGTCGGCTTAAAGCAGCGAGTTGCAACGGCACATGAGCTTTGCAGGAAAACAAACCCAAGACTTTCGGGTGGTTAGTAGTGAATTCAGGAATGGACCCTCTTACTGTCCCCGACAGTATCCACAGTAATCCTTCCTAGAAAACTCAATATTCCGTCGTTCCCTACTACCCACCAGCAGCAAACCCTTTGCCTTCTTCTTTTTCTTCCGTCGTCTTTCCGAGGAGCTTTCCGAAGACTCCTTCGGACCCCCAGGTGTGCAGCAATCCCCTCCCGGGTGGGTCTTAGCGTGAGGATTGTAGTTCCTGAGAGATATCTACTATGGCAGCAGGTTTTGACTACAGGAAGGTGATTCTTGAGCTGAAGAGGAGTGTATCCCTTTAGCATGTTCCCAGACTCAAAAATTTGTGCAACAGCGGTAACAAACCTTCCCACAGTATCAGCTTGATGCCTACTAGCAAAGCTTCCTTCAGATAATACTTCTGAATATAGACGTACAAAGCTTGCTGAGGTATCATATTGACAACTAAGGATCAGTACATTAGCCCAGTGTCCATTTTATGTTTTTGCATTTTCTCCACTTTTCTCACGATGTTGGCCCCTGAGTCTAAGCAAACCTGGACCATAAAGCTTACACCATATAGCCTGTGTTACACCTTGAAAGGAGCCCTACAATTACCTATGCCCAAACATTCACGCGCCTACATTGCCCTCGACATTGTCCTCGGTAGACCGCCTCGAGGAGGCGCTTCGCTCCTCCTGTCGGGTCGTCCAGGGTTTAGGGGCTTCGGGTTCAGGGTCAGAGGTTAGGATCAGGCAGGACTGGAAAAGACAATGGGAACTACAGAATTATTTGGCTTCAGGAAGTTTCGGATTCACATCCTGGGGTTAAGGGTGTGAGGGTTGGGGTTTGAAGCTCTATGCATTTTAGTCTTCAGGCTTAGAGCTCGAGGTATGAGCTTTGGGGTCGAGGGTGATGTTGCAAATCTTGGATTTCGGCTTGGATGCCCTGCTTCTTTGTAGCGGTTTTGATACATTAAGGCTTGATGGGGACATTCTCCAAATCATGGGGCTTCTCGGCGTACCACTTATCATACAGCTTCTGCATCCTCAGCTGCAAATTTTGGAACCTACCCATGTACCTACCGGGGAGTAGGTGTGGAATTTTGATACATCCTAAATCAACTTTTTGCCTTTAAAGCCAAAATTCTAAGCTGTAGGCACCATTTGAACTTAATCATGACTTACTGCACAGAGAGCCCAAAATCAGCTTACGATTCAAGAGGACTCGTTAACCCTCAACTTAAGAAGCCCTTTTTCGCTTAAATGAATCTGAACAAGAAGCCATAAGTACACCGTGTACCCTAAACCCTACCCTAAACCCTAAACATTCCTATACCCTCCATCTAAGAGCCCCCCGACTCAAGGCCGGCCTCAGATTCGGGCTTCTTCTCCTCAACCACGGGCGGCGGGGCGCCACCCTGTCAGGAAAGCTCAGGTTTAGGTTTGCGTGAATGATTCGGTGGTCTCCCAAAATAAGGGATAATGGAAAAGAAAATGGAAACTATAGGGATTATATAGGGGACTATATAGGGATTATAGGGTATATATACCTTTTTGGGGGGTCACCAGTAAGGATAATCATTAGAATATTCTGGGGTCCATATTGGGGTCCCCTATTTTGGGGAAACTACCAGTTCGGGATTGCTCAAAGAAGCAGGGCGCCCTATAAGGACTGGGCACTAGAAAGCAACAAAGGGGAGAACTGGAGTTTGTGAATTATGCTGATACTGCAAGCACTCTTCATACTTGCATACAGCCGGGCATCGTTATGCAAGGACTATCAGTGAACTTAGCACTGAGGGCTGCGTGTGGCCAGGGCTCAGAACCGATTGCTGCAGATTGTTGGGTTTGGGGTTTAGGGTTAAAGCTTTTTCAACAAAGGGGTTGGGGTTTGAAGCTTCGAGGCTGAGAGACTCAGCTCAGGTGTTGGAGGTTGAGACATCGCGGGTCTAGGGTTTAGTATTTGTACATTACAGCCTCATGCACTCTGAAGGTCGGGATAGGTCGGGTGAATGCTAGACAAAATCAAAAGCTTCACCAACCACTAGCAAAAGTGATATCTTTTCTAGACCTGTTGTGTACAGCCGTCCCGCCGTCTAAGGCTGATCATGCCCTTTTTGGCGTTGAAGGTCTTGAGCGCTTTACCTTTTCATTGATGCAAGATAACAGCCGCGGGGGACCGACAAGCTGGGATCTCCAACGAGGGCACCTCCCTCTCCCCAGCTAGACGCATCTGAGTGCTAGCTTTTCCTCCTCGGAGCCCAAAATGCCCCTGCATCTATAACAGCCCCTGTTAAAAGACATTGAAGCATAACACACACCCGTGATTATGAAATGCAAAATTCGTGATAGGCAGAACTTTGGAGTCGCACGCCGAAAGCCTGGAGTAGCAGCTCCGTGTAAAAAAAAAAAAACATATGCGCCCATCTGACTGAGACTGAAGTGACTAGAGTTCGAGCAACGAACCAAACGGTTTTTTCGCGTTGAGTACTTGCCAGCGCTCTGTTGGATGGCAATAATGCAGTGGCGCCCACACCTACATCCTCACGTTACCAAGGCCCCCAGCCCTCAGCTAGATCCCGGTGTGGCACGCGGGATTTTGTTTAAAGTGCTAGGCTAGATGCATGGGAAAAGTGCCTGGAGAAACGATTCAGAATATATTCAATGTCTCCATACCTGCTTCGAAAACATGAAACGGAGCAATGACATAGATTGAACACCTGCCTTCTGCAATCAGGTGGAATCTAGTGAGGCCAACAAGACTGTGTGCTCTGAAAAATCTCCTCCCAAACCTCTGCATGGAGCCGGGCACGTGATGCAGCGTGAGCCACTGCGGATTTCGCATGATACTGGCTACATCCACAGGGGTAGTTTTCGAACACATATAGCCAATCAGGCTCCCAACTTTAGGGGGAACAAATGATTTGTGTGCCCACACTTGTGATAACTACCCACATGGCTTTGTCTCAGGTTGCCGGTCAAGTGCACCTGCAGGTCTCTGGACAGCACATTTAAGCACTACATCGTCAGAACGCTTGACCATCTCAATCTTTAATCAAGAGTTTGGCAACTACAGCATGGTATCCCGCCGCCCAGACTCACGGTGTCACAGCGCTCTACTCAGAAAGAACATTGGCAGCTCGCTGGGCGGCCTGGCACACGCGACACTAGCAAGCTTCTGAAAGTCAAAACTCTCTTGAAAAAACAATCCAGGAATGAAGTAGCTAAGGATCCACGAGCGGATGAAGCTCATGGCCTTCTTTGGTGGATCCCTTAGGCACGCCTCCAGATCCCGAATCCTTGAGAGGACTTCAGGGCTAAAGCTTGAAATCATAGCACAGCCTATTCCGTGCCTACCTCGCAGAACAAACATCTGCACCTCAAAGCCGTGACATATCAGTACAGAAACAACAGAAAGGGGGTGCCTTACTGCGGCGTCGCAACATCGGCAGGCGCAGGCTGGGAGCCGTGGACCATAGCCGCAAGTTGCGCAGCCACGTTCGCGTCGGTTGGCGCTGGCTGGGTTGCAACCTGCGGTGCCTCTGGCAGTGCGGTCTCGGGTGCAGGTGGCGCTGGCACTGGAGGCTCGGGCATTGGGATCTGCGCTGCGGGCTCCTGTGCCATACCCACTTGACCTTCCTGCACAGCCGGGTCTGCTGGTGCGGGAGGTGGTGGCACTGGAGGAGCTTGGCCAAACTCTGCAGCTGCCTGTGCTGCCTCTGCTGCCTCGGGGACGCCAGGAGCAGGCATGCCCATCGCATCCGGCAAGGCTGGCAAGGCTGGAGGAGCTCCGGGCAAAGCTCCTTGCATTGCCATAGCTTGTGCATTCGGGTCTGCCATGACCTCAAGCCAGGAACTGGGACGTGAAAAACGGATCTGCATTTCGCTCTTTTGCTACAAGCCTTGAGGCCCCGGCCATGCCTGGAGCCATGCCTGCGGCAGCCCCATCCTGGAGTGAAACTTTTGCTTTACAAAGCATGGCGCTTGAACATGCCTTTTTTAAAGGGACGACATCTTGCAGCGAAGTCTCTGCTTGCATGCCCATTTGCTGTTGCAGAAGCGCTTGTTGCTGCATCAATGGCTGCTGCATCATCATCTGCGGCTGCAAATACTGCTGCTGCTGTTGCAAGTACTGTTGTTGCAGACCTGGCTGCAGCTGCATTCCGGGCTGCTGCACAGCAAACTGCTGTACGCCGGGCTGCTGCACAGCAAACTGCTGCATCCCCGGCTGCACGGCAAATTGCTGCAGCCCTGGCTGAGAGACAGCAAGTTGCTGCAGCTGCTGCATGCCAGGCTGCTGAATGGCGTACTGTTGCACACCATACAGCCCCTGTTGGGGCAGGGCCTGCTGCACCGGAACAGATTGCTGCACAACGTATCCGCCACCAGGCCTCAGCCGAATGGAAGAGAAAAGATGCAAAAAGCACGGCTTCAAACTTGACCCACCTTGACCCCAGCTTCGGGCGCATTGGTCATGCATACACCTGTAATTACCATTCATTACCTCCAAGACATTGCACCACTAGCATGCTTTACATCGAGACTCAGAAGACGAGTCCCGGGCAAAGCCGCCAAAGTTGGCTGCTGCACTTGGACTGCATACCCTGCAACACCTTGAAGGGCACCTCAGGTCAGGACGCTTCAAGAATTATCACTCAGAGGAGGTTGGGGGTCAGAGTTGAATCACGTAAACTGGTCTCTCTTCTTTACTCAAAAGATACGTACTTATAAGGAACTGGTAAGAAGATCCGGACGGCACTTTGACAAACGTTCCTACTCGCGAGGTCGGATACACACCACCATCGCACCTCTCCGAGTTCTAATTCTGGTCTCTTGAAACGCGCTGCAGATACTGCACCTCATGCAGGACGACGCTCCTCTAGCAACTACCTGTGCCTGATAACATCTGATAATACTTTTGCTCGAATACGCACTGGCCAAAAAATCCCGCAAAGTGCTGTGGAAGTGCCTGCCGACAAGCCCGCCACGCCATACCTAGGCTGTTGCAGGATGGAATGTGCTGCCGTTGAAGCCAACTGCAAGTTGGCTTTCCTGTAGCACGCTACAAGATAGCAAGTTTTCGGGCTTCCAATTCCTCAATTCAAGGGGACCAGGCCAGGAATTTCGGCTTGGGGGAGGGGTCCTGGCTCAGATCTTCTGCGACAAATGATGACAGTTCTCAGGACTGCTGGGGATGGATTGATATGGTCCTTGTTGAAGTATGTAGTATTTAGTGACTAGATAAGGGAGCCCTTTCAGTTGCCATTGAGAGTCCGTTATCCCTTCTTACTCACTTGGTTGTGCGAAGCCGAGTTTAAGCCTCACAGCTTCCGCCAAGGCGAACAAGATGCGGGTTGTAGGCAGCTGTCGAAACTGCGCCCACTCCTGTGGCAAGAGAAACCAGGGTAAGTCAAGTAGGGGTTTATCTCTTCTTGACTTCGCCAAAATATCCAGGGCCGTATTATAGGGCGAGTCCCAAAACGGACCATGCTTGTGACAGCCTGCCAAGTCAGATACCGAGAGCATTTCGCTGATACTTTGAAGTAGCTGCGATGAAAAAATGAGATTTCAGCCAACATTGATCCAGTGGAGCTTAAGACTCCAAACTGAAAACCCTAAAGCTCAGACCTTGAATTGTTTTGCAGCAGGCTCCCTATGCAAACTACACGAAACCTTTTTTGTATCAACAGGGAGAGAATGCCTCCAGTGGGAGCTGGACCATAGCCCCGCTGGCCCAGGGGCTGGCTCCCGCCCGTCACATTTTTGGCTACCTGCAGCTTGTCAAAACTTGGAGACTCAGAGGTCCCTGTAAGCTGGTCATAGGGGTTCTATACGGGTATGACGGAATCTGTAAGCTTTAAGAGTTTAGAGTTTTCGTAAACTAGGGGTCCCTTATGCAGGGCTTCTAGCATAGTGGCGTATTGGAGTATATAGAGCTTCCTGAAGAGTCCTGAAAGTAGAATCAGTTTTCAAGGCATTCCAGAGGCTATACAGGGGTTCTAGGATTCTAGAGGGTACAATGGGGATCTATGGGTGTGTGTGGGTTGAGGGTCTTCCAAGAACGAGAGGCTCCTTTTCAAGAGCCCCTGAAGTAAGCAGTATAAGCATTCTGAAATATGCATTCGAGCCATTATTTGCGTGTATACCTGCTGGTAAGAATTTCAGGTGTCTGAATTTTGGCTGGGGCTTCGAAGAATATCTTAAGGATTGAGACAAACCATAACTCAAATGCTTCCAGCCCTCAGCCGAAAAGGGCACAACAAAGAAGTCTGACTACTTGCATCGGGCGCTTCAATGCACCCGCCACCCCATTGCCCCACCGACTTTTATCTCAGGCGGAACCCCCACCTGTCTAATTCCTAAACTCCAAACATTGCATTCATCTCTTTCGATGCCCTTTGGGCAGAAGAGAGACCCGCTGCATGCACGAAACCCATGATCTCTCCTGCACTCGCACAAGAACGGCTGTGATTCCTTCATGGGCCCTGCAAGTCAAGTGTAAGACTTCTACTAACATAACCACAAGCCTACATCCTAGATCCTGAAGTCCAGTCTCAGCCCGTCAGCCTTTCAACCCGAAGTCCCTGAAACCCTAACCCCTTACCTTAAGCATCAGCTGGGATGCCTGTTGCCCCGGCTTGGTCTCACTGGGCTGGACATCAAATCGGACCCAATCACCTGAAGTATATAAAGTTTAGGTACTTCGAGCCCCTAGGATAAGGATTCTGGGTAGCAAAAGTGAGCCCCTATCCGCAGAAACCGCAGGGGATTCACGTTGCCTCAACGCCTGTAACAAATGCCCTGTGGCTATCATTTGACTCTTACAGAGACTTCAGGCTACGTAGGACTTGGGATAACCAAAGCAATGAAAGCAGGGGAATCATAACCTTTAAGGCTGCTGGGCTACATGTAACGGCCTTCTTTCGCGGGAAGGCCGTAGGGCTGAAAGTTTGGGAGTTGCTTGGCTTCAGAGCTAGGTTTCTAAGAAAGATCTCAGAACTGTTTGGCTTGAGGGGGGGAGGGTTAGGAGTTTAGGGTTTAGGGGTGTTAGGGCCTCAGATGCCAAAAACTGGTGGTTTGAGGGCCCCCACTCATGATTCTATAGTTTTTTGGATAACTCGTATGGGCCATAGTTTGAACTCCTAGTATCCCCCGTAATAACCCTAGAGTAGTCCCCTGTATAACCCCCTCCCCTATAGAACCCCCTCTAAGAAGTTGAGACTACAGCTCAATGCGGTTGATCGCCCTTGTGTTTTTATCTGCTACAAGATCGAGCTAAATAGAGCTTGCCTAGCCCAAGCCCAAGCCAACATGGAAGTTATACAGGCCCCGATAATTTATTCCATTAACCCTGACACATTATATGAGGGTTACAGAGGGTTGGTTTTTGTTGCGCTCCTTTATGGGCTTCATGTCTGTCAGAGAGGGGTTCACAATGTGGAATTTGGGGAGCCCTTGCAAGGTGTTGCCCAACATTGCCAGGTGACCTTGCTGCGGCTGCGTGTTGACGCATTCTTTCACGTGTAGCCAAACATTCCTGTCAAAGCTGCTTAGCTGAGCGGGGCGTTTTCCTAGTTGAGGGTCCCTTGAAGAACCTCGCGGGATCTGCAGGAGCATCCTGCTTGATTCAAGGGCTGTATATTGCACCCCGGCGCATGGCAGCCTGCCAAACTGGATCTCAAGCTCAAGCCCAAACTCTGATGGAAACTTTGTTGAGTGAGGTATCTAACCCTTTGAGACCCAATGCGGAAGCCTGAGCAACGATCAAAAGTCGCGCCCAAAAATCCTGATATAGCTAAAATAGAATCTTTCCCGATACCCTATTCGAATTATCTGGGCCCATACATGTAGTCCCTACAATCCGCACCAACCTTATGCAAGCCCAAGTTCCATTCCATCTTGCATCTTCTTGTGTTGTTGAGTCTCCAGTATTACCAACCCAAGACGCTCTGGATCCCTACATAACCTCTATACAACCCTTATAAAGGGACCCCTGAGTATGGACATTGGCAGCACAGCCGAGATTCGGCTGCCCCGGCAAATCAATGAAGCCGTAGCCCTTGGTGTCGTTCCACGTTCTCCTTGTCACAAACTTCCGCTGCTAATGTAGAGCTACCGGGGTACGCCAACTAGAGGAAAGCTGTAGGGCTAGGCTTTGGGATTTGGGTTTCAGGGTTGCAGTCTCGTGCTGAGAGGATCGAGCGAAAAGTCAATGCCCTGCGGCCTGTGTCAGACATGGGTGTGTCATGGAGCCAATGCCTAGTGAAGCGCCCGGGCCCACAAAGCTTGAGCCCCTGCAGCAAAACACCAAACCCTTCCCCAGTAACCAACTCTGAACGCCTGCGTAAACAGTTCAAGCGGACCCGACTGTGCAAGCCCAGGGACACTTTGCCTACGTGCGCGCCCGTGCCCGGGATTTCCGGAGCGGGCTCCACTGGGTACTGAGGCATCTCCTGTCACGACGAAAGGAGTAACTAGGACTGTAGGAGTGCCCAATATACTACACTATATCATAATTTAGGTGGACCCCCCACCCTGAAATAGTGACTGTAAGGGATAATAAGGATTATACTAGGGTCCTAATATATTCCTATTATACCACTATTACAGGGTGGGGGGTCCTCCTAAATTATAATATATTGGGACAGTGGAAAATAAGATGGAAACTACTATATCATAATAAGGAAAATGGCCTTTTCTGTCGAGGTCATCATAACTCGATCGGCCTTTGGAGCCCTTTGCAAAATATGGCTGTGGAGGGTCCGTGCGAAATCAATCAACAGGCAGGAAGATTCCAATATCCCAAGGCAACTTAAATAGATAACAACAAGCATTGCAAGGTTTGTTATGCAACTTCTGGCAAGATCTAGGGATTCGTCCTCAGAACGTGCATGGGGTTGCGGATGGATTAGGGAGGGGAGGATCATGACAAGGATGACGAGGATTGCCTGGGACTTTGCGGTATAATAGCACTCATCGGAAAACGTGTCATGGGGTTGACGGTCTGGAGGTAGGGTTGGTGAACGATGTCATCCCTGCGGCTTTAGGTCGAAGTCTTCAACATACTTCAACACGAGCTCAGCAGCTTTACCCTCACTGCATGAAATGTTCAGACTAGCATCCACGTCGTCTCTGGTTATAACGAGTCGGCGCATCAGTGTAACAACCCTCTATCTTCGTCACAAGCATCACCAGCGTGTAGTACACGGTCTAGGGTAGTCGGGTGAAGGTGCATCTCCTAGGGATATTGAAAGGTGTCGCAGACATCTAGAGGGACAGAAAGCTCTTGGGCCCTTGGGGAGGTCAAGATTGCTAAGAGCAGCGTAACTGCTGCATGTTTTGCGGTCTTTGCTTCATCAGGGCTGGGACCATGACGAGCACAACAATTGCTAGTTTGCATGGGTCAACAATCCTTAAGCCAAAGAATATGTCCAACCATGATACAGGCTTGTGGACTTTGATTCTTTTATATCTCAACAAGTTTATACCGTAAGTCCTTAAGCCAGCCGAGCCCTTCATCCCATACTGAGGACGCTCACCTTCACGCCCGTGCTGCCCTCAACGCTCTTGGCAACCTCTGCAGGCTAACGTGAGCATTGAATGAGAAATTGTGACCTCTGGTTGGCGGGGAATGAAGACATGGGAGAAGACAACCGGTTCCGCTACAGTATATCATCATAGACAGGGACAAATTGTCCTCGCTTTGGGAATCGGACAAAGTCCCATTGCTTTGGGACTCGACGCGGGTCAGATCAGGGTTTGCCTCTTTGGCACACACGATCCACTCTCGAAGGCTCAGAATTTGGCCCTTCCTATCTTAGCCATAGGAGCAGCAGCTCACAACTCCCTATGCCGCGCGGCTACAAACAACACTTTCACTTAAACCTTAACCCCAGTTAAACAAGAACTCCACAGCCCTTTCCGCCTCTTCCGTATACGATAGACCACGGTTCTTAACTTCAACCTGTCTACTTAGCCATGTTCCTGCTCAGTATTTCGGTGTTGCTTTTAAGTTGCAGTTGCTACAAAAATGCCCGTGTCTTGGCAGGCAAGGATCACCTAAGGTTGTGTAGCCATCCTCACCTCAATAACCTCTGGTTTAGGGTTTTGGGGTAAAATTGGGATAATGGAAAAGAAATGGAAACTACTATTTAGGGTTTAGGGTTATATAGGGTTATGTTATGTCTGTAGTTCTATCTCCATATTGTTCAGGGTATGCCGTTGGGCGGTGGCCGCTGGGGAATGGAGGCGTTGGTCCCTCTGAAAATCGCTGTAGAATGCCTGTATCATATTCCGTCAGTTCCTACTGGTCACTAGTGACCCTAAGCCCTAAACCCTAAACCCACTAGTGAGTCTGTGTTACACATTCTGTTACTCATGCCTTGGTGTGGTTCTCGTATGCTTCTTTTCCACTTGAGGGCTCCCAGGGAACCCAGGGATGGATGGGGGGATTACAAAGGGGCTTTTGGGATCCCCATCAAGAAGCTTGTAATATAAATGATTAAGTCCCACATGTCTCCTCTCTTGTGTCTTCTGGAACAGGCAGGCGCCTACAACTGGATTTTTCATAGGCTGATGTCTCAAATACATTCGAACCGCAACTACATTAACTGCATTTCAGTTCCAACAAATGACACCCACCTTAATGTATTGCATCTTGATTGTGCGCGAGCATTGGGATGAGGAGGATGTGTCTGAGTTATCTAGCCTCCGTCGGCACCAAGACACTCCTGTCCTTTGATAGCTCAAACGCACCTCTGAACCTTGAACCCCTAACCTCTAAACCTGTCAAGAACTTCTTCCTGCAGCAGCGTCACCATTTGTCCAGGCTTCGACTGGCTTGGCTCCATGGTGAAGGTCAGAACATCGCCCGGCACTGGCTGCTTGTCATCTATGCCTCCACTCAACACGCGTTAGAGTTTGGGATTTAGGGTGCCTGGCTCAGAGCATGCAAGTGGAAAGGTTCAGGGTTCGGGGCTTCAAAACTGGTCTGGTTATGTTGGAACTACCGTCTATGTGTGGAGTAAAATTCATGAATTATGTGTGCACAACTAGGTGACACGCACATACATAAAAGCATGATGTCAAGACTATGTCGGGAAGCATGGGGACCGTGCACAGATCATCTAGCAGTAGCTTTCTTAGACAGCCCAAGGGGGGAACGTTGCACAACGGAAAGGCCAAGTGGGACGTGCAGTGCTTGTGGATGCAACCGCAGGCTCAATTGACCACAACCGAGTGGCAGTCTTTGATGTGGACAAAGACGTCCGTGCCTGAACCAATGTCCTCAGCAAGTTGCCATGTCTTTTTCAGAACTCACACGCAGGGCACACGGGCGCGAAACTGTCTACCAAACAGCTGCCTTGCTGGCTTCATGCAGAGCAATGGGGCAGAGTCTTCCTGCAGGACGCTAGAATTAGAAGACCGCCGTCAACGCCTAATGGGACAGTCCAACGAGTGGACGGTGAAGCTTAAGTCGTATGAGGCGCCAGAGGTGACAATTTCATGTGTCTCCAGCCTATGCGGTCAACAACCCCCGCCTACACCTCAAACGCAAAATTGAAACCCCTTTTTCGCAACCAGGCTGAGCATGTGGCCGGGCGATGTACCCTAAACACCCAATACCTCATCCCCAAACTCAACATAGATCAGCTCAAGGTTCAATGAAGCCAAAGCCTTTGGCTCCATTAAAGCTTTTCACACGGCCCTGGGTTCGAGCCATGGCTTTGCCTACGAAACTCTGCGACTGAGGTAGTAGCACAGGTGTGCTGAGACTTCAGTAGAGAGACTTAGTTCTAGACGTAGAAATGCAAGGTATCCAACAGTTCTCGGGCTGGCTTCACTGGTCCAGCTAGGCATCTAGGGAATCTAGGTCTTGCTTCGTGCATTCTGGACGGTAAAGGAGGAAGTCGCGACTAGCAAAGCACACTGGGACTTTAAGGGGCTTGAAGGACAAATGTGCAGGCTAGCCGGCAGCTCCCTTGAATCCAGAGTGGCAGCAGCCATGCCCCGTGTTGAGGCTCCTATCAGTGACTATCACTTTACAAGGAAGAAAGACGACCCTCCCTCTTCTACGGCTGCTATGAAAGTGCTTTTCAATGGAGAGGCGTCGCGCGGACTCGGCGCTGCTGCTTCCTGATGGCATGCATGTCTGCATTTCACCCTTGCCAGTCAAGCAGCTTGAAAACTCAGGAATGCTGGCCCAGTTCATCAGAAGACCAGAAGGAAAAGGAAGCTGTAATCTGGGCAACACTCGTCATCGTCTTGGTGTTCCAAACGCAACTAGCCATGTGCTGGCATCTCAGACCATGGCAGCAACTCCGCCAGGAAAAAAGATAGCTTCAGGTGGGTCGGCGTGTGCCATTATCGCTGCTAACCGCGGAGGAACCACAGCCCCTGGAAGGCTCTGCGTAGCAGCGCTCGTTGTCCAGATTTCCCAGGTGACTCGCTGCTTGCAACCAGCCTCGCAGTCACAATATGATGGATGGAGGACGAAACCTTGCACCACCTAGCATCCCCCAAAGTGCAGTAGCTCCAGGGCATAGTGTGGAACGTTGTGCAAGATTTCATCCATTAACAATCTGAGGGCCCCAACTAGGCGGGGGAACAAAGCCGAAGAAGCTTCCTTCTAAATTCATCCGCCCACATGGTCCGGGAGGAGCGGCACTTTGTTGGGACGCGCGGTTCCGTACTTGGAAGTTGAGAGGACATTCGCTGTGCCTAGTCATGGAAACGCGTGTCAGTATTCCAGCTAATGGTGGCGCAGCCTCATCACCTACCTGCGCAATAAACCATTTGCTTTCCTGCCGCAAAGCCCAGGACCCAATAGCTTTTGGAACATACGTTGTTACCAGCTCTGTGCGCATGCATGTAGATATGTTTGTATATAGGTGGTTGTTGAGGACTCCGTGGGTCTATATTGCAGAGCACTGACGAGTGCCATCGTCAATAGAGCTTCTCGACCTCTAGGTTCAGCAACCCCTGCGCCTTGAGGTCTAGTCTTTGTTCTCGGCGCTCTCAGATTCGGACTCCTCGTCACTAGGAATGCCTTGGTAAGCAGCAACCAAACAAGAGTTTTCTTTCTTGGAGGGCTCTTTCTTCAGCATTCGAGGCTAGCATAAAGATCCGAACAGTGGGGCAAACAGAAGGGGTGTGCATCTTGAAAAACTCTGAAACCACATTGTCTTGGCTTTGCTCAGGTTTCTTGAGGCCGTTGTGGGAACCAGGATGCTTCTGGGATGGAATTGGAGTCCATGGGCAAAACAGTAGGAGCTCCATTCGGGCGAGTTCCAGTCTGCATTTGCTGTGTAAGAAAAATTGTAGGTAGGAAGCCTTCGTGACTTGGCTTTTTGGGAGTTTGCCTTCAACTCAGGATTGAGTGGTTACTCAGAAGGACCCCGATCACCTTGAACTACAGGCCACTTTTATCAGATGGATGTGGAAGACCCCAGACTCGTGCAATGTTCGATCTATGAACGTGCATCAGGATCACACATGGCCTGGACCCAGGCCCTTTGCGACAACCGCACCATCTGATTTGGACTTCGGCCCCCGCCTGCCACCCGCCTGCCAATGCTTTCTGAAAAAAGTGCGTTTCAGAGCCTGTGCTTTTTCAGCGTTGTGATCGTTTTTTTTTTTTTTTTT